ACTCTTCTCGAGGTCGTATATATCCTCGAGGAAGACTGTATTTTCGCTATAAATCGAACCAAGAACGATCTTGATCACGTCTGAGAAAACCTGGACAGCAGCAGAAATGTTCCAGCCGTTTCAACGTACTCACTATCGCGTACCCTTCCTTGTCACCCGTGGCCTGCCGCTGCTGCGTGCCCTTGAATGTGCCGGTCAGAAACCCCATCGGTTCATGAGCCATACCTTCCACAAAAACAACGCCACGGTCAGCTGGTCTTGGGGCACTTGGGTGAGAAAACTCCCATCGTTCATCGAATGCATCGAGAAACATGGGCATGGCGCAACCTGGGCAAGGGTGGGACAAGGCACCAGCGCGGGCAGCAAGGTCTTGCTCCAGAAAACGACAAACACGCGAAGCGGCCACACAACCTTCACCATCCACGGAAGAGAAGCGCACGTGCACAGCCAGTTGACCGCCTGCAGGAACTGCGTCAGCTCGCCCACACTCTCAAGACGCTGCATTGTAGCCGGGCCGCTGAGGGGCTCGGGATCACGCTGGACCTTGCCCTGCGAGTACACCTTCCCGCACCAAGTGTTGCTGGTCTCACAGAACGCGCACTTATGAGAGGCCACGTAAAGGACAGCCCCCTCCAGACGTTTAAGAATGAGGTCGAGGGTGTCAAGCAAGCCGTCTTCATCCGTTCGCCAACACACAACATGGTCTACCCAATTTCTCCAGCAGAACCTTGCTGCCCGCCAAGCGCCCCCTTGCCCACAGTGAAGCGTCTCTGGGCCATCCATCGCGCCGTACGATACCCGGGCATGTAAGCAGGAGAAAGATGGCAAGCAGCAGGGTCGCGTGAAATACTTCATTCTGTTTACCATCACCAAGGAGGTGAATCGACCAGCCCCCTGAGGCCACGGCGGAACGACTCGTCCTAGGCCCTTCCTACTTTCAGGCGTGTCGACAGTTATCGATAACTCAGGCTGACCAGCCAGGGTCAGTCAGGGTCAAAAACCAATTCTGGTGAAGATGGCAGTACAAGCTATTCTGTTTTTTCCTGCTTCGCTGAGTGCGAGGTTGGGCTGGGGGAGCTGCTGTCCTGATCTCCCGCGTTGCAGTTGTCTTCAGAAATTTCGATCTACCTTAAATCTTAGGCATGCAGATACCCAAAGGCGGCTTCCCGCCGTAACCTACTTTCCCAGGTGCACTGCGTCCGCATATCGGCCAGTCGAAGAGCGCCCCCTGGCGTTTTTCTGGAGACGGGCCCACGCTGCCCTTGGTCGGTTGATCTCATACGTGAGTTCAGCATCTTCTCTGACCGGACCATCCAGGTATCGGAACTTTGCTGTCGGGCTTCTTTGCTGCTGCTTTGATCGCTGACGCTGCCGCATGTGGTGGACTGGCGCTGGCGTGCTCCCTGCGTGGGCTTGTTCTTTGGCACCCACATCAGGAGAGTTTCTCTCTTTGATCGCTGACGGTGCTGCATGTGGTGGACTGGCGCTGGCGTGCTCCCTTCGTCGGCTTCTTCTCTGGCACCCACATCAGGAGAGTTTCTCTCTTCGTCTCCGGTACCATCACTCCGAATGCTCCAAACACTTCCGCGGTCATCATCCTCGCCAAGCCTTCGGCCGATCTCGATTCGAAGTCAGAGTCATTGGCGTCCAGGATACCTACCCCACACGAGCATTCGAGCTCGTTCCGGCGGGGTCGTTGCCCTCACCACACTTTCCTTTTCGAGGCACATCCGATCCCTGAGGATGACGTCGTGTTTCCTGAATCGTACCAGGACTATCTTGAGCGAGCGCTCCTATATCATTGTCGCAGTCCCTGGGTGACCTCGCACGATTCAGGCAACTCCCCGTAATCCATGTGGACTTTCGTTCCTGCTGGACGTCGCCTCCGATCCACACATCGACGAGAATGGCGTTATAGTGTTCGATACCATTCTCAACTTCAACGGCTGCTTCGTTTTATGTTCAATTCCCCGCATGCCTTCCGTCGCTCGGCAAGGGTTGCCTATGGACAAGAGAGCCATATGCCCTAGGGCAGTCTCCCCCGAGTGTGAGGGGGCAGGCTAGGCCACAAAGCAAGCCCCCGGTGAGGGGGATGGAAGGGAGGGGAGAGAGGAGGGAGTATATTACCTTCAGATGTCAACACAGGCACCGCAAATAGGACAACAAGAGGGTGTCATCAACATCTCCAACTGCCATGTCTGGGTCATTAGTAGAGCCCTGTTCACGACACCCCCAACGCGACTGTTGCTTTCGTTTCCGGGCTATCGCAACACTCAAGCATACGTGGTATCCGGGTCGCTGCCAGCAGCACTGCCTGCGCTACTTCAAGTTAGCAAGAGCGGGCGTGGTTGGGCTCGTTTTTGGACTGGTCAAGGTTTTGGAGCAACTGATCGATCACCTGATACCTCAGCATTCCTTCCCGCAGCGCTTTGCGACTGAACTGCCGTCGCTTTCGCTTGTTCCGCACGCCAAGGTTTGTAGACATGCCTGAAATCAGAGACCAGAATCCTCCCCCCGTGGCCTCGGGAGGAAGGTCCATTCACCTTCTTGGTGATGATAAACAGAGTGTATTATGTCACACGAGTCTTTCTCTCTCTCTCTCTCTCCGGCCAATATGCCTACCAGATAGATAGAAACCCTAACCTACCACATCTTAGACATGCAGATATCCAAAGGGTGGCTTCCCACCGTGAACTATTTCTACTCAGGCGCGTTGCGTCCACAATGCCCCCAAAAGCTTACTACCACCGGTGTAGACAAACATCAGCTTGATCTCAGAGAGTAGGAACCTGGTCATACTCTCAAGTAAGCGACAACAATGTTTGTTAATAATAAACGCCCATACACGGCGATATTATTCCGGACTACTGCGACTGCACGTCGTTAGTCAACGCTTGTGTTTACCCTCCCATACAAAGCGCAGAATGCCCGCCCGCATTCAATAGTGACAGGCACGCGACGCTACAAAGGACTACAACGCGTAAATGACGCAAGACCAAACTAACTTGGCTGAGGCCGCACTCTCGCAAATGAAAAACATTTACGCAGTGGAAGGACGACCAACACACCGCAAGCAACGTGAAATAGGTACGTTTGTCATACGCAGGGAAAACGACGAAATAACCAGCAACCCCCGAAGCAACGCTGAAAACCGTTCAAGGTGCTTCCAGGGGGGCGTTAAAATACCTCAGAAGACAACCATGTATGTTGCGACGACCCACACGATCGTATGACAACCAATGCCTTGAAATTGAAAACGCACCCAACCCTTAAAGAAATACCACCAACACGTTGTCAGACGGCTACCTTCACGCAAATCAAGCACATCCAACTATCGGACCAGCCAAGGCACCCCAAACACTAGGCAATACGGCCGACCGTGACCTACCAACACATGCAAGAGTCAGGCACGGCTCAACCAAATTATCGCTGGGCATGCTGAAGAATGTACACGAAGTATTCAGCGAAGAAATGCCATCAATACTAGACAAGATAGATATCCCTCACTCAACTCAAACAAATCAAGCACAAATATGAAGGGAGTCAGCAAAGACATACCATCAATTCCCAAACAAGACGGCCCTCGCTCAACTCAGATTGATACTTCACAAGGCGATTCCGTATTGTTGCTTCAACTGAGCCCGAGCCTTTTTTGCCAGACCCAGCCGCCGCAGCTCGGATTTGACAAACTGCGGCGTGATATCCCAGATCTTGGATAGCTACCCAGGTGTTCTCTTCCTTGTCAAAACCAAACACCTCCCATGCCCAGCATGCTGGTTCGAGGCTTTTACGGGGAATCGCTGCAACGAACAGTTCTGTGGGGCGTGCGTGGCCTGGCTTTTTGCACCACAAACACGTAACAAGCTCGGCAGACGAAGACGCACCTGCACCGCCAGCTCCATCAGGCGCTTCCGCTTTCACCCATGTCTGTTGCTGAGACGGTTTTTTACGAGCCTGAACACGGTCACCACGCGATTGCCCACGCTGCCCGTCTACCAACTCAACCGTGCGCTACTCGATCGCAATATTTCGAACGATCTCAAAGATTAGCTCAGGTGTCCTTCTAGCTACATTGCATGTCGAGCTTGCTCTTTACCTTAATTTTATGCTCGGGCGGAGACAGACCTGCCACAAACCTTCTTGAACGCATTTGTAGAGTTGTGCAAAACACGTTCAGCACTCGGGTTTTCGAAGTACTGCTCAAAGCGGCTTTGAAAAGCTTCTATCCGATCGACAGCAGTTGGCTCAGTCCCCGTCGCTACCAAACGATACACCGCGGCGGCCGCAATCGAGGGTTCAATGGCATCGTACGTTCAGCATTCAGCATGTTTTGCCAGAGCCTTGCGCAGATAATCTTTATGAAGTTCGGTGCCATCTGTAGACACGCCTGAAGTCAGGCAGGGCCTAGTACCAGTGTCTTCCCCCCTGGCCTCGGCGGGCTGGTCGGTTCACCTCTTTGGTGATGGTAAACAGAATGTATCATCATCATCAGACGTCAATAGAGGCCTCCCTGATGGGACAACAAGGGGGTACCATTATCATCTCCAACAACCATATCTTAGACATGCAGATATCCAAAGGCATCCTCCTACCATGCACCACTGCTAGCCAGGTGAGCTGCGTCCACAATGCCCCCAAAGCTTATTACTTCCGGAGTAGACAATATTGAGCTTGATCTCAAATACAAGCACCTGGTATTACTCAAGAAAAAACGACAGCGGTGTTTATGAGTGACAAACACGCATACACGGCGATATCATGCCAGACTAACGTCACATCAGTTCACTAGTCAGCGCCCATGCAGAACAAACATAAAACGCCCCCAATCAGCAGCGAAAGGCACGCTAAGCAACAAATGCCAACAACACGCAAGTGATGGACGACCACACAACGGTCGAGCTTTAACCGGTCGCGCTCCTGGCTTGAGGGTGAACCGTAGAAGCTCGACGTTCGCGGGAGGGTCGCCTTATCGCAAACCACGGTGGAACACCTTTCAGCGCTCATGGATGATGCTCCGTGGATGGCCCACGTGCGGCTCCTCCAATCCAGCCAGCTACAACGGCGGAAGAGACAGCGCTGTCCAACGATTCAGATCGCGCCAATGCCTCCCCCTCAGGGCTCATATCCATATTGGGGCCTCGCGCCACCGAACGCTCGACCGCTGGATCCGGCTCGGCTTGCTCCGGGCCTTCGCGATACTGCAGGGCATCAACGGCTAGTGAAACTCGGCGGCATTCTTTGTACGCCGCGGTCTCAACACCCATGACGCTAGCGCGCGAACGCACACAGGTCCCCAAGCTCTCGTACACATCGATACCCAAAGCCTTCGGCGTCGGGTTGCCAAGAATGACCACCTGACCGTCGCCAAGCATGACCGCAAACGAAAACAAGTCCACCGACACCAACCCCCAGCTGGCGTGCAAAGCAATACGCACGGGGCACGTTTTCTGTGTGACCTCCAGCACGCGGCCGTCCGCGACTTTCAGCTTCCCCGGGTTTTTCATGCCCCTTACGACCTGCACATCCGGAACAGCAGCTTGCAGCCTACTCGCGATACCTACTGACATGGTGATGAGCCCCGAGCCAGAGTCCAGAACTACAAGAGCTTCTATCGCAGTCATGTCGGCAGCAGCAGGCACCGACAAGCTCACTTAGCACCATTTTTCATGCGAGTCAACCGCGATACCTTCTGAACCGAACCCAGACATACCTCCGGGCTGGACTCCACGAAACGCTGGCACAAACGGCCCCTCACGGCCGGGTGGTACCCCCACTCCCACAGTCGACGCTGGCGACGGGTCCGGTGGGAGCAAAGGCGTCGGAGACTCTTCGCCCTGGAGCTCACCGGCAAAAACAGCCCGCCACCTACATCGCGTTGGGGTGAGTTGGTGGACGATGCCCCCCCAGATCCACGGCCCCCTCCTGAAGAAGGCTGCTGCGCCGGCTGTTGAGTTGACCGTGAGGGCGTTGTTACTGCTGCGCGTGCCCCTGGGCGCGGTGCGATTGTTGATACTGCTGCTGCTGCTGCTGCGGCTGCAGTTGCTGCTGCTGATATCTACGGGCATCCCCTGTGCCGCGAAAATGCCCCCCATGCCTAGCGTGCTGGGTAGGGGCTTTTGCGGGGAACCGCTGCAACGCAACGGACAGTTCTGCGGGGTGTGGCCTGGCTTCTTGCATCTGAAACACGTAACAAACTCGGCAAATGACGACGCACCTGCACCGCCAGCGTCATCAGGCGCTTTCGCTTTCGCCCATGTCTGTTGCTGAGACGGTTTCTCACGGACCTGTACGCCGCCACCACGCGATTGCCCGCGCTGCCTGTCTGCCAACTCAACCGTGCGCCACTTAACCGCAACATTCCGAGTGATTCAAAGACTAGCTCAGGGTTATCCTTCCAGCCTTGCATGTCGAGCTTGCTCTTGACCTTAAACTCGGGCGGAGCCAACCCAGCACCAACTGCTTTGCTGATAACAGCAGCCGGGCCTTCCTTGTACGCGCCCGCAGAATCGCGGAAAACATGTTCAGCACTCGGGTTTTCGAAGTAGTGCTCAAGGCGACTTCGAATAGCGTCGATATGATCTACAGCAGTAGCCGCAGCCCCGATGGCTACCATACGAGTCACCGCAGCGGCCGCAATCGCAGACTCAATGGTATCGTTCGTCCAGCATTCAGCATGTTTGGTCAGAGCCTCACGCAAGTCACTTTCTTCGAGTTCGGTGCCATCAAAGTAGGTGCGCGACAGGCATTTGCGGATAGACTGGCGCAACAGTTGAGACACAGTGAGCAGCGGGCGTTTGATGGACTGCCCGCTGTTGCAGAGACCCATGCTCCGCTCTTACTCGTTGTACTGCGTATAGAAACGCAAGGACAAAACTCTCGAAAAAGTGCGTCCATACTCAGACTGTTTGGGCCCATTGTCCAAGACCAAGTCGGTAAACCCACCCCGAATCTCACCGACCTCTCCAGTAGAATCTTGCTGTACGCCAAGCGCTTTCTTGCCGGCATTGGAGCGACTCTGGGCAATCGCGTCGTACGATGCCCGCGCAGATAAAGACAGAAGATCCGCTAGAGATCAGTACAGCAGCTCCCTCAGCCTAGCCTCGCACTGGGTTCGGCGGGGGACACGCGGAGAAATATCTTGTACTGCTGTTGTCAAGAAAACGTTTGACCCTGACGGACCATGGTCGGTCAGCCTGAATTGTCGATTACTGTAGACACGCCTGACGTCAGGCAGGGCCTAGTACCAGTGTCTTCCCCCGTGGCCTCGGGGGGCTGGTCGGTTCACCTCTTTGGTGATGGTTACCAGAGTGTATTATTATCATCAGACGTCAATACAGGCCCCCCCCGATGGGACAACAAGGAAGTACCATCAACATAACCAACTACCATATCCTAGACATGCAGATACCCGAAGGCATCCTCCTACCATGAACCACTGCTAGCCAGGTGCGCTGCGTCCACAATTCGCAAGTGGTCTCGACGAAATGCGAGCCCCGCACATCATCCTAAACACGCGAGTGCGCTCCACACAACGTGAGCGCCCCATCATCGCGCCCCATGAACCGACGCACCTCCAACTCGACCCTTGAATTGCCATCAGACAGCAAGCCGTTGACCGTAGACCATCATATAAAACATGTGCCTCACGCCCCCAATACCAAAGCACGCCATTCAACTCCCAAGCGTCAGCCGCTCTGGACCCCGAAGTACAGCGATGCAGCTACTTCCTGATGCCCAGCTAGCCGCATTCCCGTTGAAAACGTACACTCATGTGCGGCGCAATGAAAATGCGGCGCAACTAGAGCACGAAGCTTCTGGAGACGAAACAGTCGATTGAAAGCAGCCAAGACCGGGGTGTACGTGTGTACAGGAGGTCATACTGAGCTACACGTATGCGGAACGTCCAACGCGACACTAGTACACCTTGGAGCGTGTACAACAAAGCGGCGCAGACCTCCAACCGGAAAATCGGCTGCTGGCTCGACATTAGGCAGTAGAAGCATTGTACATGCAGTACAATGTGTGCAATAGCGAACGTACATAGCAGGACAGTAGAGGCCGGAAACATTAACCCGCGTAACACAGTCAGTTATGCCGTACAGTAGTCGCGAAAGTGGGTTCGTGACCGTACAATGAGCAAACGTCACGCTAACACACTGGTATAGCGATATCGAGTAGTACAATATGGCGCGCTGGAATTGACCGTGAAAAGTGTGCATCAACATTTGCAAAACAAACGAGCAAAATGGGAAACAGAGTTACCCAAAGTACGGACAAAATACTGTTTTGCTGCAGATTCGGGAAGAATGTAGACAGCCCCCAAATCAAACACCAAGGCTTAGAACTCGGGTCATTTGAGTGGTTTCTAAAAGGATTCCTTCATCAAAAAAGACCCAGTTTCTTCACCAGAGAACGCACTCCAACATACAGGCGCATACGCTCTTAAAAAGAGACGGTTCCAATACGACATTTCACTTCACGCAAATCAAACTTCGCCACAAACAGATGTTGGCTGCATACGTAACATACAGCACGCTACGGGGGCAACCACACCCTCAACGCATTGTGCGTGTCGGTAAAATGTTGTTGAAGATCACAGCAAAATGAACCCCTTGCTAGCCTCAAATCTTGCATATTAACAACAGTTTTGATTTCCGCGCCCGCGATTAACAATGGTGAATGGATTCATGGGTATATTTGTCGTAATGGTCAACTCTGGACTCATTCGACGAATAGGGATATGGACTCGCAAACAATGGCATCTCTGCTGTACATACAACGTTGAGACTTTGCTCGGTGCATGAGCCTTCTTAAAGGTACACACGCAATGAAACGCCCCTTTTGACCTCCATGATAGTAATGCGATGAGATATGTATTTCTCAGAGTAGTGGCCTCGGGGCACTCTCGCATTCGATTTCACTGACCAGCACAAGATTACGTCTGCGAGGCAATCCGCAAACGGAAACTTGGCGGCAGATCTTCAACTGCATGATGTTCAAAAATGCAGCATGCGCGCTGTAAGATCACGCCAACACACGCGCATGCTGGGCACTTATTAAACAAGCAAACACAAGTAAGGCCGACCCAAAAATTCAAGACATCGCAAGCAATCGTGTAAACCCCGCGCGAGGTGTAGACGCGTAAATACCGCACGATATTGCACCTCTCGTCAAATGGCAACTTTCACCGTCCCACTGATAATCTCGCTCAATTCTCCGCCAGACAACGAAGCGATCTTGACACTGGAGTGATGAGATGACACAACCCCCCGCCTGGAAGCGGAGAGATTTCTCTTGCTGGCGCACCGCGAAGAGAGTGTAGATGAATCCCGCCCACCGCCATGACGCCACTTCCGAACGCCAGACTGAACAGCTTCCCCCTCGGTGCGACGCAGAACCATCACAGCTCCGAACGCAAGCTCGGCGAGTCAGCAGAGACGCCTCCGGAGTCCGTTCATCGACTTGTACGCCCGATGTAATTTCCTGTGCCGTTTCAACGCTTGAAAAAATTCTGGATCAGCAGACAGCTCACGGCTCCCTAGTCAACCTGACTTCTTAAGGATTTTGACCCTAACTGAACCTGGTCCGTCAGCCTGAGTTATCGGTAGCTGTAGGCACGCCAGCAGTCAGGCAGGGTCTAGAACCATGTCCTCCCCCGTGGCCTCGGTGGGCTGGTCGGTTCACCTCTTTGACGATGGGAAACATAACGTAATGTTATCATCAGACGTCAATAGAGGCCTCTCTGATAGGACAACAAGGGTTTACCATTAAAATCTCCAACTATCTTATCTGGGCCCCTAGCAGAGCTCTGTCCACACATCAAAGTAAGTGCACAAGCGTTTCCGGACAGACTGGTGCAGCAGTTTAGATACAGTGAGCAGCGGGCGTTTGATGGATTGCCCACTGTTTCAGAGATCCATGCTCCGCTCGTACTCGCCGTATTGCGTATGGGAACGCAAAGACGAAGCTGACAAGGTTCGTCTATACTCGCGCGGTCTGGGAGCATTGACCAAGACCAAGTCGGCAAGTCCACCCTCAATTTCTCCAATCTCTCCAGCAGAACCTTGCTTCCCGCCAAGCGTCCCCTTGGCCAGTAGCGGAGCGTCTCTGGGCCATCGTGCCAAGCGAGGAATTACGTAACTATAACACAAATACGGGTTGAGTACAACGTAGCAATGGAGGGGAAGGCTCACACATAGTTCATTCTTTTCTCCTCCTTCCTTCAGACCAATCCGCGCACGACCGCTTGCATAACCTGGTACGTTATGCTCGCTCGGCCTGTAGCCTCCCCACGTTACCCCATGTAATAACTCCTGGTTGGCCGGAGGTTACACAACACCCCTGTACAACCGTGCCCACTGGCCACTTGTGGTGTTAGAATCTAAGATTGATGAAAACTGGACTCGGCAGCACCCCAAAATACGGAGAAGGTGTGAACATTGGAATGGTAGCGGGCCATGAACAGTTCAATCGCTTGAGCAACAACATCCGTTGTACACAGGCGCGCCACCTACGGCCTCAAGTTTCGACGTGGTGGCAGAGTTCCGTCCGTCTGAAGCGGTCGACCGATATTTTGGGTGACGTCATACATACTTTCACCAACATAAGGGTTCCGGCTCTTCATTTGAGGGTTGGTCTGTTTTCCGCGCAATCGCGCGTGTTCAGCGCACAGGAACACTTTTGCCAAAAAAATGGGTGTTGCGTGTTGTCTTTTCTGTGCCGGTGCCATCGCACCCGCTTTGGGCTACGGAGCACATCCCTATGCTGAGCTTTTGTGTGGGTGTGTTTGAGTCCGGTGCTGGATCTTCACGCATGGGATGCGGAGAATCAGTAACAAACATTAGTCGTGTGTCGAGTGCGGAGGGCACATTTTATGAGAATTTGGTTCTGCGTCATGGCAAAGTGCCTATTCGGAACGCGGTGTCACTATATGTAGCGTTTTGTCTGTAATTCAAATGAGCCCGCGATTTAAAATTACGTCGGCACGTTTAATAGACAGCTCAAATAATCATATTTTTGTTTCTTCTCCCCACCCTCGTGTCTATTGTGCCGGTGACAGCGCGCCTGGAAGTGCTCAGACCCGGAAACCAACGTTGAGGACATCACCGACGGCTGCACCGGATATGTCGAGGAGGGCGCCTACGTCGTCAAGGACTGGAGCGATCCGCCGCTTCACCTTCACTGCGCCAAGCGCCTGTGGCACCCCAAGGTCGACGAGATCCTGGCTTCCAAGCAGAACCTCAAGGACATCGGCACGACCGCAGAGAAGGAAAGCGCGCAGCCTTCGGTGCCGGCCATCGACCTCTCATTATAACATATTCTGCCAGCATTCATCTGTACCATCTGTATTTACATTGTAATTTATTCTCAACTTTATGTCCTATATTTTTGTAAGCCAGCCCTCATAAGTCAAAAGCGGATGCGTCCACCTCACGTGCCTTCACGGCAAGAGCCAGACTCTCGTGTTTCACGATCGACGTCGGCGACAATCACAGCGCACATCTCTACGACAAAATCCTTCTACAGATCGATACGGTTCACGACCTGCTACACGCGCGTCTCGGCAACGACCGCTTCGGCCGACAACAAATACTGAACAAAGCACCACAGAACAACGTGTAACGCGTTCTGCTTCAAGGGTCGGCAATATATGTTAAACAGTGCAAAGTAAACATTAGATGTAACAACAGTAACAGCTACAACTACATGTAGCTGTCGGTGATTTTGCGTTTTGTGATTCGTGACTGAAGACATTGCATCATAGTTTTGTCTTTCGCTGTCGAATTGTGCGGGTGCACTATCGTCTGCTGCGCACATCGACTACATCAAAACTCCTTCCTGGACTGTCCAGAACATGCCTTCAGAGTACCTATCATTTGCTTTCTTTGCGGTATTCCTCCGGCGCCATCGCTTTGCACAAACTGTTGCTGCATGGTCGGCGCCTCACCTTCATGTGCAAGCTTTATGACAACATGCTACGCGACATTTATGTTCATCCACCACTTCGTATTACCGCATCCCCTTCAACAACTACACCTACCTCTATTTCTAGCCTCTACTGAGGACGGGGGGCCCGTTGGCCCCCACGTCTGGGGCCCTTGTAAACAATAACACGTACGCTAGCAGAGTGCGAAGACTCAAGAGAAACTGCACTAAAACAGGGAATTTATTCCCTGAGAAAATCACGTCCAATTCGACAGTTCGATTGCCAGCAGCAGGCCGATTACCGTAGACCACCACCCGAAGCAGGTGCCTTACGCCCCAAATACCAAAGTACGCCATCCAAGTGCCAATTGTAAGCACTGTCGCTCTTCACTCCGAAGCACAGCTATGCAGCTGGGTCTGGGTACCAAGACGCCGCATCCCCTTCAAGCTAAAGTACACTCATATGCGACGGATTTGAAAATGCGGCGCAACAAGAGCACGAAGCTTCTGGAGACGGAACAGTCGATTGAAAGCAGCCACTGCTGGTCCATACAGCAGTGTTGACTGAAATACATATGTGGAACGTCCCACACTACACTAACACACCTTTGAGCTGGTGTTAAAAGCGTCACAGACCGCCAACCGGAAAGGTTAACCGACTGGCGCGAAATCACCAGTAGCATCAAAAATTCAGTACTGTTAGCGGTAGCCCACTTGCGCTGTAGGATAGCAGGAGCAGAAAGCAATCAGCCACCTTACAGTCAATGACGCCGTGCAGCAGTGGTGAAATAGTTTTCGTGACCTCAAGAGCAGACACAACTGTAGTACAATGAGACCCACTTGGGCACACCTTGGAAATGTTCACCAACACGTAAAGAACAGGCCGAGAAATTTCAGATCAGAGACACGCGAATCGTGGATATGATACTGCTGTAATTCTATAGTTCGGCAAGAATGTCCCCGAAAAGCGCCCAAGGAGGATAAAAACTCCGTGTATTTAGTGGCTTCAAAAAAGATTCCTATATGCAAAAAGACCTCGTAACTTGCTCACCAGAAACCGCACGCCAACAGGCACATGCACTCTAATACAAATGACGATTCAAAGTACGAGATTTCACCCCACGAAAATTAAACGTAGCCTGAAAATCACGCAGACAGTCAATGTCGGTGTATGTTATACAGCGCTTTTGTTGGATATCGATTCACAAAATCGAATCGATATCGATATCGCCTGTGAAACGGTCGAAATTCGAGATTTATCGAGCCATGAGTTGCGAGCAAAGCGAGTTGGGAGCTAGCGAGCTGACCCGCTTGTGCGATCCCCGACGCCCCCCACCCCGGCCGGTGAGGGAGCCCCGCCGCCGAAATCATTTTTTTTCTAACAACTTGGCTTCATTTCCCATCATTATTTTGGAAAATAGGCCTCCGAAGCCGGCAGTGTACAGCCAACTCCTTGAACAACAAGCATGTGGGTGAACAAATGAAATCGGAAAATAAAGCAAAACTGTTTCGCTGATATGTTGTCCTCCGCTGCTTGGCTTCCGTGCGCTTCTGTAGATGCTGAGGCTACGGCCTATATGATGGGGTAAGAGGGAAGAGAGAGAGACTCTTGATATTTGCAGACATCGACAGAGGCCGCCCGGATGTAACAACAAGGGGGTACCATCAACATCTCAAACTATCATATTTGGGGCCCTAGCAGAGCACTGTCCACCCTTTTTTCCTATTTATGCTTCAATCGTTTGAGTTGACTGAGAGCCATCATGTCTAGTACTGATATCGATTCTTCGTTGACTACTTCGTGTTGTAATTTCCAGCATGCCAAGCAGTGACTTGGTTTTGGCATGCCTGACTCTTGCATGTGTTTGTGGGTCACCGTCGACCGTATGGCCAAGTGTTGGAGGTGTGCCTTGGCTGGTCCGATGGATGCATGTCGTTCAACTGCGTGGAGGCCGCTGTATGACATCGTGTTGGTGGTTTTTCTTTGAGGCCTGTGTATACTTTGATATTCGTGACATTGGCTTGTTTGGCGATCGTGCCGATCGTGCCGATCGTACCAACAACCCTGGAAGCGCGTTGTAACGGGTTTCAGAGTTGCTTCGGGGTTTGTTGTTTCTTTGGTCGTTCATGCTGCTTCTGGCAAACATGCCCATTTGGCGTTGCTTGTGGTGCGTCCACCCATTGCGAAAGTTTTCTTCCTTTCCAAGCGTGCGGCCGTAGCCCATTAGTGTGGTCGTGCGTCAGTTATAGTCATTCATAGCATTAAGAGCGTTTCACCCCTTCTCTTCCCCTCGCTGCCTCGGCAAGGTTTTGCGTAGGCATGACCTATAGCGAGGGAGGGGGGGCTTTCTAGCGAGCAGGGCTAGACTCACCCTCAGGGGACCGATACCTTCTTGCTGCGGCGCACCCGCCTCGAAGCGTGCGTAGTGGTGGAGTTCGGTCGGCACTGGTGCGTCAGGTACAAAGGTGTAGATGCGCGGGCCTCCAGGCCGTCGGTGTGGGCAGCAATGCCCATCTCATCTTTGTGCGCGGAGGCAGACGTCATCAGGGCACTATGTACACGGCCCTAGATTTGCTAGAGGGAGCTGTACTGTCTCAGTAACCTGGTTATGCCATCAAAGGAGGAGGGGATAGGTGGTGACAAGCTGATTGGGTTGGTTGACCCTTCGGCGAGAGAATTTCAGACCCAGAACCCTAAGGGTGGTTCTTATCGAACGAAAAAACACGGAATATTCACGGAACTGTGTTTTCTTGCAAATATATGGAGGCTTGTTTCCCCGAAATCGTGAAAAGATGGACTCGTGATTTTTTTAGGCTTGCTCCTTTCACGGTTCCGGGGAAA